TACAGCTGAGCATAGAAAAAGATTACACGAAGATTTTCTCATTGAAATTCATCACAATCGAAGACAATCATATGAAATTGCTCAAATGGACCCTTAATTTTGATCTCAGTCAAGAACCCCCAATTGCACCTATCGAGTTCTCATTATCTGAACTCAAACTTCAAATCTTTGACTTACCTATCTTATATGCATTTGGGACTATCCTTGAAAAACTTTTGCAGGTAAACATGTCTACAGTTCATTTCTCAAGGCCCTCTATTGCAAAGATTTTGATTGAAAAGGATATCACACTACCAGATGTTGAAGAAATCTGATTTGGCTCTGCTCACAATGGTTATTGGCAAAAAACCATTATGAAACAAAAACCTTACTATTGCAAGCACTACAAGATGTTTGGTCACCCGCAAGAGAAATGTTTCAAATTGCACTCACAGTTAAGAAACTATAGTCAAAAACAGGAACATGCTATTAGTACACCCCACGTGCCTGAACGCGCTTCTAGCAAACATGATGACAGCCAACCTGAGGGGGGAATCACCACAAGATAGGAGTAGATGTCTGCCCTAGGAACCCTTCTCCTAACCATACTAAAAGGGATAATGTTCGGACCGAAAATCAGAATAGTTTCGCAGCTCCTATTCTGGAAGCATCAGGTGCAGATATGACAATTCACACTTCACATACACTGGAACCTATCGTTGTGGCAACGACTTCCTTTCCTTCTACTGCGATTTTATTATCTAATCAAACCGAATATCACATAAGTCAGTCTTCAGATGAAGAATGACAAGTTTAAACTTCTCGGCGGAAATAGAAGGTTGGGGGCACACTCCAACTTGAAAACTTAATGGATGATATTTTGGTTACTCCTGGCAATGGCACTACACTTCAAATTTTATTATCTGGCTTCGCTCCTAAAACTAGAGGAAGAGGCAAGACTAAACTGGCTCGTCCCTAGCTACTTGTATTCTGTAGGTTTTAAATTTTTTTGAGTCTCTCTATATCTTTTTGTTGGGGTATTATTGTATTTGGTATCGTATGGGTAGGGTGTCTCTATTGAGTCCTCTCATACAACGTCTATGTATCTTTTCTATTTCAACAAAATCAGCCTTTAGGCTTTTCAAAAATATATATATATATAATTCATTAATTTAAATATAATTAAGCTCTAACTTACCTGAAAATTTACTTTGGTCGCCCGCTAACTCTTGAATGAGAGCTTCGTCCTGCACGGACGAGTAGGCCGCTTTCTCCTCCTCTGCAACTTCTACTCTTTTACTTCTTCGCACATGACACTCGCAGACCCATTTAAGCACTTGGTATGCTTCTCCTTTCGACAGAGCCACGCACACTCTTCATCTCGAGAAATTTTTCCATACGGAGTGCAGATGCAGCACTGCGTGTAGACTCCAGTAATATGTCACCAAGTGTGCTACACCGGCTTCACCTCATAAACACTGCGCGGTGAACCGAATCTGTGCGGTTCCACTTCAATAAGCCTCGCAGAACAACTCTGATAAGTCTCCAATAACGCCGCAATAACTCTTCAATAACACCATGCGAATAACCAGTCTAATAATGTCGTGGTCCCGCCTCAATAATCTCTGTAGAACAATTCTGATAACCGCTTCAATTACGTCACAATAACACTCAATAATAATGTGAAGTAATCCGCTCCAATAAACTCAGCGGTTTCACTTCAATAACCCCCGCAGAACAACTCCAATAAGTCTTCAATAACGTCGCAATAATCATTCAATAACGCCGCAATAAACATTTAATAAAGCCGAAATAACCCTTCAATAACGTTGTGGTCCCGCTTCAATAACCCCCGCAGAACAATTTCAATAATCACTTCAATAATGCCCAATAACCCACCAATAACACCGCGCGGTGAACTGCTCCAATAACCGCAGCAGTTCCACTTCAATAACCCCGCAAAAAAACTACAATAAGTCCTCAATAACCCTTTAATAAAGTTGTGGTTCCGCTTCAATAACCTCCGCAGAACAATTCCAATAACCATTTCAAAAACACCGCAATAACCCCCCAATAAAACTGTGTGGTGAACTGCTCCAATAACCTCAACGGTTCCACTACAATAACACCTGCAAAATAACTCTAATAAGTCCCCAATAAAACCGCAATAACTCTTCAATAACGCCGCGGTCCCGCTTCAATAACCCTCGCAGAACAATTCTAATAATCGTTTCAATAACGCCGCAATAACCCCCAATAATACCGCACGGTGAACCACTCCAATACCTCAACAGTTCCACTGCAATAATCCCCACAGAACAAGTCCAATAAGTCTCCAATAACGCTGCAATAACCCTTCAATAACGTCATGGTTCCGCTTCAATAACCCTCACAGAACAATTTCAATAATCATTTCAATAACGCCGCAATAACCTCCAATAACATGCACTCCAATAATCATAGTGGTTCCACTTCAATAACTCCCACAAAACAACTACAATAATTCCAAAATAACGTCGCAATAACCCTTCAATAACACCTCATATTTAATAAAATGATAAAAAATGAATATAATGCTACCCTTATGTTTCTCTAATGAAATGAGTCACCAGTCACATTCTATATTGAAGAGTTATTCCGGCATTATTGAGAACTTATTGGAGTTGTTCTGCGGGGTTATTGAAGTGAAACTGCAGAGGTTATTGGAACGTTTCACCGCGCAATGTTATTGGGGGGTTATTACGGCGTCATTGAAGCAGTTATTGGAATTGTTCTGCGAGGATTATTGAAGTAGAACCGCAAAGGTTATTGAAGTGGTTCACCGCACGGTGTTTATGAGGTGGATTCTAAGTAGCACACGTGGCGACATATTAGTGGAGTTCGCACGCAAAACTGTGTCCGCACTCAATATGGAATTTTTTTTTCCTTCTTATATTGAGTTATTCTTCCTTTGAGTGTGGCTTGACTTCAACCCGCACGGCGAGCCGCTTACCTCCGTTTCCTCCCTTTGACTAGGGTCGGCATGACGCGCTTTCCTTAGCTCTACAATGACGTCAGACAAGAAACTCCTCGGCAAAGCTGGGATTCTTCTTCTTCCCTTGATTAAGGTTTCTTCCTTCTACTATGCAAAAAGCCTCCCACGCATGTAGGTGACGGCTTCTTCCCTATCTATCTTCTTCCTTCTTTCCTTCTTCTGTCTTTTTCCTTCTTTGTTACCACTCTCGATCTCCCTGCTCTTTTTCTCGCACTCTCTTTCTCTCTATCTATTTGAATGAAATGAAAACTTATTCAGCTCTTAAAGACGAAACCATATAGATGTAGCAATTATTATTAATAATATTATTTATTTATTTATAAAATACAGTTATTACATAAGATGCATGCAAATATTTCATTTGAAGCTTTTAAAAATAACATTTTGTTTGTCTACATGTATGTACTGTTGACCTGGCAACGTTTATTAAGACCAAGGTTTTTATTTGTGCATTCAAAGAACATTTACTTTCTTGCATTTAGTTTATGGTTTGTTGAATTTTAAATGTTCAATAAAATTTGTTTATACACGTTCATAAGCTTTTAAGTTCACTGCAATTCTCATTTAGATTCTTTTTTGCTCTTTTCTATTAGTTCAATGCAACTTTTAATATAGTCCAAGCGTTCATTTGAAGTTCATGTTCATGCTCATGTGCAAACTATTGAATCCCTTATTGTCTGGTTCATGTTCAAACTTATGTTGAATTCTAGTTCTTGCATTCCATTTGACATGACGCGTAGCACCTTTTGAAAGTTTATTTGTTCATTTAGTATTTTTATGTTTATTTACATCACATTAAATGATCCCAAATAGTCAATTTCATTTTATTCTTCGCAAGTTTGTTAATGAGGATTTTGACAACCTCACGACATCACTCCTTCGTAGGGGTCGTCTACAATGAGTGTTGGGCCTTTCTATCAGACTTAAAAAGGCATATATGATCGATATTGTAAGACATTGCGATTGAGTGTCTTCAAAATTAAAGGCGTTTTTGAACCCACCACATTTAAAAAAACATTGATGAAATTTCAGAACTTACAAGAGAATGATCATACACACACAAAGATCTCCGATCATATTAGAAGGATGCTAACAGGTAGATAAATATCTAACATGCAAGATGAGTTGATGTTGATGACAAGTTGAGGCAAAATGAAGAGATCAATCTTATAGCAAGCTCGACTTATAGCAAGCTCGACGATACACAATAATTCTCTCTCTCCCTCTCTCTTATATATAAATATATATATATAGTGAGAGGGAGAGAGAGTTGGAGATAGGGAGAACAATGTAGAGAGGAAGAGAAGAAGACAGAGAGTGAGTGGTGGAGAGAGTATAGAATGGAAAACGGAGAGGCCTGGAGACTCGGATTCACGCACCTCTTTTAAATTTCTCATTGTCATCATGCTCAAATTAGATATCAACGAACCTTTGATCATCTAACACTCAAAGCCATACAAAATCTTCAGACTAATTATGATTTTATAAATTTTACCTTTAAATTCATATGATATTGTTTCTATCACATAATACTCCAAACGTATTTCTCCATTCTATTCACCTAAAACTATATAAAGAGAGAGAGATAAGATGTAAAAGACCATAATCTTACTCTAAATGTATTGGACTCCGAACATGACACTAAAACAATGATAATAATCTACATAAAACTAGTATATTAACAGCACTGAGTTCTTATACTATTTCCATCTCAATAAAATTCAGCCTAAAAAAAACATGCCTAAATTAAGTTAAATGAACACAGCGAATGAATGAACATCACTCTCAACAGGTTCTCTTCGGAAAAGTAGGTAGCAATCAATCCCGTTTTAGATAAAAACAAAAAACAGGATCGTTGCAGATTTGGTTGCATAAAAAAGAACCAAGACGATACGCAGATTTTGGACACGATAGACGAAACAAATAAAACTGTATGGGGAGAAAGAGGTCGATAGCGAGCATAAGAAATAATTTGAGGAATATATACCTTGATTCGAGCTGTGATAGAAAGCATTGCAACATATTGAAAAGAAGAAGAGGAGCTGCAGCTCAAGTAGGCGGCTATCGCAGTCCCCTACGCCCATTTGAACGCAGGCAATGGTTACAGACACTTCTAGTGAAACCGGGATTTTGGCTGCGAGAAGAGGCGCTTTCCTGCTTAAGATTGCACCCCCCATTAATCGTAGGAATTTGTTGGATTAATTAAACCAATTAATGAACAACGCTTTTCCTATCAATACGCCGGACATAGATCTGACTTCAATAATATCATCCCATTATTTAAGTGAATTCGTGAAGTTTATTTTGAAGTTATTGAAGAAAAATGCATATTTCAATTCAATAACCCTAAAATAACATCTTTAGTTTCACTACAATAACTCAGAATAACATCGCAGAGGTTATTTCGGGGTTATTTTAGGGTTATCGAAGTTGAACCCATATATTGCACCCTAAAATAACACGCAGGAGTTATTTCGGAGTTATTTTGAGGTTATTTAAGAGAAACTCATATATTTCACTTCAATAATCCCGAAATAACATCGCATATGTTATTTCTAGGTTATTTTTTAGTTATTTCGGGTTATTGCAGAGTTCACGGTTCTACTTTAATATTTTTTTAGGTGGGTCTGATATAACACACATGATTATATGATACTAGGAGTCCGCACGTAGAGCTTAGTCCTGAGTCCAGACATAACACTTTTCCTTGATTTTGGACCCACTTTACGTCACTTTATTTTTCTTTTTCCAACTTATTTGATTGGAGTTTAGTGATTTTTTTTCTTTTTGAAAAAATTACAATAACTCTTAAAAATGTTAAAATTATTTTTAGGTTTTGTTATTATTTTTGAAACATAAATAGCCAATTATTCTAAGTTTTTCATATTTGAGCACAAAGCATTCTAGCCCCACCTCCTTCCCTCACTAACACAAAGGATATCACCCTATCATATGGCATCACCATAATGGTCACCATTATCATACATGTTCTATGTCTATCAACACCACCTTTACCCCACCACCTCACTCTCATTAATGTGACATATTCAACAAAAATAAATAAAAAAAATAACATGCATTTATAATACCAAATATGTATTTCTTTCACAACATAAAATCTAAAAAAAAAAAAAGTTAACCAAAATTACCTTTAAATGTTCTTTGAGTGTCATGTATTAAATGTGACATCCAGTTGAATATGTCACCCCCATCCTAGAAGTGCTTCGAAACTCTCACCCATCACGACATTGTCCGCTTTGGTCGAATGACCTCATGATTTTGCCTAGTATGTGTAACTTCTCAGAAGGTCACTCATCCTAGGAGTGCTCTAGAATGAGCATACTTAAGTTTAGAGTTCTATCAAAATTTCACTTTTATACCAAAGGGTACATCGATGTTTAAGAATTCAGATTCATTTTATTTAAGGGATTTCACATTTACACAAATATATACAAAGCATGCATATTGAGGCAGTTAGAAAAGCACAAATTTGATGCATAATTGACAAAATTAAACTAAACTAGATAATAGATAAGGTCATATTGGCTATATAGCCTCTAAAATGGATTTGTCCTACCAAACCTACATCTTGCTTACAATTATTAATGGTATATTGTAATTTATATCAGTTTGCTTAGCATGTCCCTTTGCATGTTGAGTCCTATGGACCCACCATCTTACCAATTGCTCTCGTTCTAGAGTAGTTTGTCAAGGAATATACATACCTCTATAGATTTATATTGTTATATACATTTATATTGCACAAATTTTTAAGTTGATTATTCTGAGAATTTGATTTCAAGAGAGAAATTGATTCATTCAAAAAGTTGAGATAATATTATGTGTTCATCACATCTATTCAATGGATGATGAATTGTTAACATTACCACAGTTCATCATATGACATTAGGTTTTGCTTAGGATATAGTTCTAAAACGTACCCCATGTTAATGTTCTTATGCAAGATGAGTTGGCATGTTATTAGGCTATTAGTACAAAAAAATGTTGAACAATCTTTGTAGTTGTGATTAACTAATTCAAATTATTCTTCAACCTAGGATTGATATGGCCAAGCTCGGTCTCAATCATTTAAACTTGACTAGGTCAATACTTTATGCTTGATCCGCTAACTCTTCCATTAGATTATCTAAGTTTTTCATCCTTATCAAATTCAATTGATTTTGCATCTAATTTTGTTTATAGGTTTAGGGCCAACTTAGCCTAAATAGTAACTTTGTCTTAGCTTTTAGCCTATGTTGGTTAGGACTATATTACATCATGATTATTAGTTTCAATTAAACTTATAAATCACATCAGTTACCTCTTACTTCATTGATATATCTTTGATCATAACACCTAATCATTTAGCATAGTTACATAACATAATTATATCTTTATTTTGTTATAAGATGTTTTATATGTGCAAATTGGATCTCTATGTTATTACTCGTGATGCATATGATTAGTACAACTAGTTTGGTTATATATTGGATTTGAATTGAGATATTTTTCTTATAGGTTAAAAGGGTGATAATATTTGCACTTTTTCTTACTAGAGTAATTTGTCAGAAAAAAAAACATATGTCAAGTATCATTACTTAAGAAGTCATGTAGTTTTATTTATATATCACGATATAAATGTCTGGTTGAATTCCTTGTCAACATTATTATGCAAATGCAATTTCATATGAAATATTTTATGAGTATAATAAGCTAAAAAAAAAAAACTACTGACCTATTGCATCCTATATTATAGATTCAAATGTATTTCTAATACCAAATAGCTTTGAGTGTTAAGGATGAACTAAGTGGCAAGGACTATGAGTTGGGGAGATTCTTATACTTTGAAATTTCTTTTCATTTCGTTTGTAACTAAATTTTGGATTAAATTGTATTATATAGAGCCCAACTTTCTTGGTTATTCTATTTTATTAACAGTGTATTTATTAACCTGATTACATCTAATTTTTCTATGATTATTTTTAGCTTAAATATCATTAGATATGTTTTTTTTTTTATATTTGCATACAAATTGCCTACAATATTTTTATAAACATACGTGACTTCTTATGTTCAATTAGCTTTTATCACGTTAAAATATGATATTTAGCTCAAAAATCAATTTTTATTTTTATTTAAAATTAATACGTGGTTCAATTTTAACTCCTTGATTAAAAAATTTCACACACATATTTCTTAAAACCTTTTGTTGGTTTGTATTTTTATTATAGTTATTTCTGATACATTTACATAATCTTCTTTAGGGTGGATCTTTGAATTAACTACATTAATTTAGTTGACACATCTAAGTGGATATCTAGTATACTAATTAGAAATTCTTCTGATCGGAGATAATTATGAAACTAACAACGTAGCTTCATTCGTATGAAACTAGACCATCATATTCATCTTTTTGTACTGATAATCCATATATTAAATATTGTAGGTTTTGAATTTTTCTGCATACATCACCTATGTCTTGTATTTATAAATCTTAACTTTTTTTAATGATAATGAGGCTAACTTTAAATTGCACGATTTAAAGTTTTTAATAGTGCATCTTCTATTAAATTTAGGCTATTTTTTGCACAAGTAAATAATTTTGAGAATGATAACTTAGAGGACGACAAATCTATTAAATTTTGAACGAGTTAATTCTAACTTTTCAATTGAACTATCTCCAAGTGAATCTTTTTTATTATTCTTCTAACATTTTGATGACTTCAAGATAATAATATATATATATATATATATATTTAAAGTGATAGGCGTCACACATAGATTTAGAAGTCTATCCTTGTCATGAAGATTGACTAATGTTAAAGCATAAATTGTCCTATAAAACATTAATCTCCAATTATAGTCCACATTTGATATTAATTTATACAAATCATAGTGTGGACATGTTTTATAAATCAATAGTATTTATACAAGAGTGATCAATTACAATTAATTTTACAAAATTTATTTTCCTTAGAAAACTGTTTAATAAAGGCTATTAACTTAACTTTGACAAGATTTTGATAATTTAATTTAGAGCGACTACTTTGTTTATGTTGAAATAAGATTTGCAAAACCTTTCTCATTGGACTTTTTCCTTATCTTTTGTTGTAAGATATATTATAAAAAAGAAAAATACCATATCATTACTTTCTTCTCTTCAACATTTTATGTCCAAAATCACTTATTATCATTAGAAAGACCCAAAATTGCTTCTAAAGTAATATTTCATATAATAGTTTGTTCATGCATCATCAAAGATGATCGATGTGTCATACAACATTGATGTGTTTAACCATATTGTTCGATTTATTACTGTCATTCTACACAGTAAAAAATTTAAAAATCAATAAGAGGTTGTGAGATGCAAGATAACTCCACCAATGTTTCATAAAGATGCAAGTCAGGCACATAATATGACTTTAAGTTATTGTAGAGCATTAACTATAGCTTTTACTATTTTTCATGTTGTCCTTTTCAATTGTCCTTCTCTATGCTAAAATGCACCCTCCTTTGTTGTCTCATTGTTTAGCTTCCATTTCCTTCTAATTATATTTAAAGGATTTTGGATTTTAGTAATGGTAAATAATTTTACTTGGGCGATTGCTCATAAAACTAGTGTGTTTCTCCGTAACGATACACAAAATGTCAAACAAAAATAAATATAAGGGGAGAATAATATGAATAAATGGTTTATATTATCAACTTTTGATTAATCATTATGCAAGTTTAATGTGATAGATAATTATTTAAAATTGCCATCTTCCACAGCTTAATATTGCCCAAGATTTTTCTCACTCACCCACCTTGACAAAAATTTCAAATTCAAGGAACTTTATTTAACATGCCAGAGTCAAAATATAATAAAATATTGCCAAAAATGCTTCACCTAAAGTAAGAAAGTGTTGAACTATTATATTGTAAGCTAAATTTTTTTATTAATTTCATCAAATGCTTATATCTAATACCTAAAATTTTAATGATTTAGATTTGCAATACATTGAAATTCATTAAAAGTTTAATCGAAAGTTCATATTTTCTAAACAAAGGAATTGAATCAAGATAAAGCATAAAATGATATCCCAAACCCTCAATCCAATTTGAATCTTACCCCTTTTAGCTAATCATTATATGCCAACAAGGTCAAACCACTTCAATGCAACCAAAAGGCTCTCTAACCTACTCAATTATGGCAAATTTCACTATTATAATTATAACTTTTTATGTTAATTCCAATTTATATTATCTCATTGGCCTTATAATGATGACTTCTTTCTCAACCACCATATTACACACTATATTTGAATTTGTATGAAATTACTTTAAAAAATTATAGATACTTGTTTATTATTATTTGGTCCACTCAAATATCATATCATATTTTCAATGCAACTTTGTCATATTAACTTTTGAGTGATGAAATTTCTGACTTTATAAAGTTATTGGCATGCTTCACAAACATCTATATTAATCATTTTCTACTACGGTAACCACTTTGATACATATTTCACATTAAAGTTGACGGTCATAATACTCATAATGTATAATATTTATACATTATGAGCTTGACATTATGTTTTGTCACTCCTAAACTCCTAAAGTCTAGCTTACACTCTCTCATAACATTATGTTCAATATATGAGCTTGATAATTCAAGAAAATCTTGTTAGTATTAGTTTTGTTAAATAATAATATTTATAGTATTATGTATGTGATTATCTTTTATCATGAATATTATTAACTAATTAATTAACATCATGTATTATAAATGTAAATTTAAAAATTTAAAAATATATGTATAAATCATACTGTTTTTGTCTACCGAGACATCCAATGATCAGCACATGCCGAGAGCCCCTCAGCTCCATCTTCGACTCCCGGCCTGGTCTCTCGTTCTCCCTCGTTTCCGCTCTCAAGTCCGCCGCCTCCTCTTTTCAGCTCTTCTCCGGCGAGCAGCTCCACTCCATCGCCCTTAAGTCAGGCCTTATCCGCTCCAACCTCTTCGTCAGCAATGCCCTTATCCACCTCTACGCCCGCTGTGGATACCTTCCCAGCGCTCGCCAGCTCTTTCTATCAGCTGCTCTCCTTAACACTGCCTCCTGGAACATACTCCTGGCCGCCCACCTCCGCTGCCCCCGCCCTGATCTCTACCTCGACCAGGCTCGTTCCTTGTTCGACGAAATGCCTAATAAGGACCGCGTTTCCTTCACCACCATGATCATGGGTTTCGCCAAACACGGTTCTTCCGTCGAAGCTCTCACTCTGTTTCGCGACATGATGGCCGCTGGCGTCACCCCGAACGAAGTCACATTGGCAAGCGCCATCTCCTGCTGCTCCCGCCTAGACAGCCCCTCCGCCGGAATGGGGAAGATGGCTCATGCCGTGGCAGTGAAGTGCGGACTCGATGAGTTACTTTTGGTCGCGACCAATCTGGTTCACGAGTATGCTGTATCTTCAAACTTCGAAGATGCTGAATCAGTTTTTGGGGGGATGTCTGAGAAAAATACGGTCACTTGGAACGTGCTACTGAAAGGGTATGCAAAGGCTAGGTTGATCAATGCTGCAAGATCGGTTTTTGATAGAATCCCCGAGAAGGATTTGGTATCCTGGGGCACTATTATCGATGGATACCTGCTCGTTAATAGTTTGGAGGGAGCCCTGTTAGCATTCCGTGCGATGTTGCAGGACGTTAATGCGCGTCCAAATGAGGTAATGCTTGTCAACCTCGTGTCTTTTTGTAGCCTCCGCACTGCAATCAGTGAAGGCCTGCAGCTCCATTCTGTAATTCTTAAAGCGGGTTTGGATTGCCATTCGTTTGTGCAGGCCACATTGATTCATTTATATTCGGAATGCAGGCAGATGGACCTAGCTTTCTTGCAATTCCAGTGTGGAAGCAAGGAACATATATCTTCATGGAATGCTGTCATTGCTGGGTTCATGCAAAACAATAATGTGAAGGCTGCTCAACAACTGTTTGATGAGATGCCTGACAGAGATATAGTTTCATGGAGCACTTTGATTGCTGGGTATGCACAACATGGACAGCATGAAGTGGCATTAGGACTTTTCCGTGACATGTGGAGTATTGGTATACAGCCGAATGAGATCACTTTGCTAAGTGTTCTCTCTGCTGTTGCTGGTTGTAGTTCTTTGGAGGAAGGAACATGGGTCCATGACTACATCAACAGAAACTCTGTTCCATTAACTGACAACCTGTGTGCTAGCCTTATTGATATGTATGCAAAGTGTGGTAGCATACATATTGCAATCCAGTTTTTTGATTATGTAAGAGAGACTTATGCGGGTATTTCATCATGGAATGCAATTATTTGTGGCTTAGCTATGCACGGGCATGCAAATATGTCGCTCGCCTTATTCTCAGAACTTTTGAAAACATGGATCAAGCCCAATTCAATCACATTCATAGGAGTATTGAGTGCATGTTGTCATGCTGGTTTGGTAGATATTGGACGGAAGTATTTTGAGTCCATGGAGAGTGTTTATAGTTTGAAGCCATCCATCAAGCATTATGGTTGCATGGTGGATCTCTTAGGTCGGGCGGGGCATCTAGAAGAGGTAGAGGAGTTGATAGAATCTATGCCTATGGAAGCTGATGTGGTCATTTGGGGTAGCATGCTTGCTTCTGCGAGAACACATAAGAAAATAGAGATTGGGGAGAGGGCTGCCGAGAAATTGGCCAAGTTGGATCCCGGACATGGGGGTGGAAGGGTGCTTATATCTAATATTTATGCAGATGCCGCCCAATGGGGGGAAGTTTGCCTAGTGCGAAGAGCAATTTGGAGTGGGGGGTTGAAGAAAAAAGCTGGACAAAGTAGTGTTCTTTAAATTTTTTAAATTCAGTCATGTTTCGATGATGCTTTGATATTATGATGTTGCAGTTTCTTTTCGGTGCAGTTTGAGAGTCAAAAGGTGAGTTTTTTTTTTTTAATGCTACTAAATGCTTTTGTCTGAGGGATTATTGCAATACCTAATACAATTTACCAATGATGCACAAATTGTTTTATTGTATTTGAAAATCATTCCCTGTAAATACAATATTTTGCAGGTATATGCAAGCTGAATATCTGTTGTCTATTTGTTGTTCTTAGTGTTCTAAATCCATTCTTATATATTTATTTTATTATCTAGTTATAATCCTCGCTATAAGAAAGTATGGCTTAGCTAATTTACTTGCATTTTTCTCGGATTCGTCAAGACAATTGTATGAGATAATAGTTCTATTGAAAATTATCAAGGCTTATGGCACCACAAAAGCGTTATGGTTAAAAATGAATTTAAAAATAATTGAGTGATAATACACCGACCATTTTCACATGTGGGTCAATATTTAGAATTATATAATAATAGTGACCTTAATCAACATTCTTTACATAATATTAAAATCATCCTATGTAGATGTTAACCTCTAATATTGCTAGGTAGGATTGTTCTGCAATGGCAGAGGGCCCAACTTTTTATGTTGTTATGAGAGGCTACTTGGAATTAGAGTGACAAAATGTGCAAACACATGCTCCAAGACATTTCCTTATGTGTCGAGCTAATATCTCTACATAACTGCAACCAAAGCTTGCCAAATAGGTTAAACCTATAAACAAGCTTAAAATTGGCCATTTCGGGTCAAACGAAATAAAAAAATAGTCATTATTTTGAACACTAAGTCATCATTGCAATATTGGTACGAAAACAAGCCTAGATGGACCCAGGAAACTTGATATAAAACGAAGAAAACAACTCAAATCAAATAATGAATTGTGTGCTATGAAGTGATGCACAAATACGAATACACGAACATGACATGGCAACTAAACAATGATACAATATAACTAAAAAAAGAAAAAGGACACTATATAACACACTATAAATATGATATTCTCATTTATAAATTATTAGTTAAAAGCTTGTATTTTTTTATTAAAAACATCACATAATGAAATATTTTACATAAGAAATTTAACAATAACACATGAAAAGTAAACATTTTTAATAAAAAAGTGACCAGCTGTTAGATCCAACAAGGCATTCCTACTAAAGGTCCCGCCTAATGGTTTTGAAAATTAACTCATCAAGTAGAGATTTTCGCAAATACTCAATGTGATATTTATTTGGAACTGGGAGCACTTTCTCTTTTTTTGGGAACCTGTCCATAGTTCTTGCTTAGCGGAAATTTTACAGCCCAACTTACTCATTTATGAGAACATCTATGCTAAAATGATTCATGCAATTATTATTATTTTTTATCCCCCATCTTATGCTATTCTTTGGCCCTTATTTATAAATGAAGGCTCACTAATCTTGGATGTGTATGATGTGCCATATGATCTTATTATATGTACTGTGATTTCTCGAGAGCTTCTCACTCTAGAATCTTATGATCCCAATCAAGCCAAGGGATTCTTTGACATATATTTTGTCCCTCTTCTTTTTCATCTTAGGGTTAGTTCAAACTTGCACAATTTTGATGGGACCCCGATAACATTGCATCCAACACAATGCAAATTCAATGATAGATTCACTTTCATAACTTTTCCGTTGAACCACTAATTCATAAGTTTTTATTTTGGATCATTTTCGCAAGAAGCCTCTGCTTATTATCACAGGATAGTAAAATATCGAACAGTTGTCTGATAAATCTTAAAACTTATTATAGACTTAATAAGCATCCTATCAAACAGGAAAAAAAGCAAACCAACTTTTCTGAAGCATTGTTGTCTTATTAGTGGTAATTCATACAGTTTTAAGGCCAGTATTATACATTAACCCCACAATAACTTTGTATTATTTACTGATCTTGTGTTGTTTTGTACTAGTTGGAACATCAATTAGCTCTTATCAACTATTTGGTTGACAAAACCAGCAGATATTCCAAATTCTCCTACCTCCTTTACAAGCAGTGCTACCTTGTCAAGAATCTCAGCCAATAAAAAGACTTGGACCATTAAGCGAACTTCACTGCCTTTCATGCCATTTTCAGAGCCTGCATTCGGGTTTATGGTAAGTGCTAGTTTACAAACTTGAATGTGAGAACTTAACTCAACTCTCCTTTCGTGAAGCTCCTCTAAAGCAAGTTCTTGCCTCTGAAACTGCTTCATGTATAAGATACAGTCCCTAAGTTGTCTCATTATGTCTACCACTAATAAGCTTGTTGATTCACATTGCTCCTTGATGCTTAGAAGTAAAACGTTTGATGATATCTGCCAAGCATCAAATAAGTATAGAAAGCTTTGTTAGCACCAATATTCATTCCATTTTTGTGATAGGGGTATTTTGGACCACTTCTTTGTTTAAAATCTTACAATATATTGAAGAAAAAATAGTAAATTTAGGAGTACTATTGATGGTATTATATTATTGAGATGTGGAGAAGAGAAGAATATCTTAATGCCTCTTGTTTTGCTTTCAAATATCCTTCTGTTGAAATTATGCAAGCCGCTAACTCTCTTAGTTGTCCTGCAATTTGTAGGTATTTGTTCCAAGGATAGGAGAAGCCGAACCTTCCATGCCATGGTTCCCATTTTGCAAAATTTACCTGTAAGGAAAGCGTGGAACTTGATGTAATAGTCTCTTCTCTACCCATATTGTTTGTTAGAAGGATTAAACACGAAATGCTGAAATTTAGATTATATTAAGGACTAAAATTCCAATAAATAATCTTCTTTCCCCACAGTTTTTTTTTTTTGGTTGAGATTTGTGTTCACGAGTCTCTATCATTAATAGAATTATATCTACATAAATAAAGGATTTAATGTTAAAAAAATGAAAAGTATTCCTTGTAGGATTTGTGCCGATACACTAATGAATGGATGCTCTTCAACTCGAACACTTAAGCCAGTGGTAAGGACTACCACTAATGCAGTTAAAAGTCATTTTTTGTTATACTTTTAATGTGACACTGTATTTTATGCTCATGAACATATGAACAATGCCCCCTTTTAAAGAGTCCTCTGCACTGGCACTCTTACTCAAGCTAAAGCTTTTCAAAAAAGTCTCATGGTTTAAGGTCCGACTTAACCACGTGAAATCAATTGGAGTCGACTCATCTTGAATTATGCCCGACTGTGTTAGAAACCTTCAAAGCCTGTGGTAGTTAAAAAACATACAGAATACTTAATCATAGATGAACCTCAAATTCTTATATGAAATATTAGATGGCCGCGGAACACTAGAGGCTCTTATTGGATATTTGAACCCTAAAATATAACTAAGAGAAATTTACATGGGCGGCAACAAATTCCTATGTATTTACATATCTAACACTTAAACTTGATTCTTACATATGTACCACCCAAATCATTCATATCACATAAAAAATATCACAAGTTTAACTTTTTAAAAGTTTAAATGCACCTTTGCATGCTTAGGTAAGGTGGCATATATGTAAAATTGAAGTTTAGGTGTTAGATATGTTAATACATAAGAATTGAGTGGTATGTATGTAAATTTTGTGGTATGTATGTAAATTTTTATTAAATGGACCCACATAACCTAAAACACTTGTGTCAACAAGTTAGGGTCGCTGTTTTATTAGAAGTTCATTTTTTGCTTTTGATGTGGACTATGCTCCAATCTCATAATTGTGGCCTAATGTAAATTATTTAATCGAAACACAATCATGATGGATTTTGTCGACAACAAACGAAGGAAACTATAGAGGGAAATTTACCAATGATTCATCGCTTGTTTTAGATGAAAGTACAGACAAACAATGCAAAGGTTTTCTTGCTTCATCCATCCCTTTCTTCATACAATCTGCATAATAATAACAACATAAATAAACTGAATTTATGATCTGCGTTTCAAATCAAAGTGGTGTAATCAACCTTTTCAAATATTATGAAGTTTTCAACCGCTACTAACATAAACATTTAACTATTTTCTTACATTAATCTTCTTCATAATATTATGCAAATGTTTTCAAGCTTAGGCCTCTGAAGCAAATTACCTTCAATAGCATGTGCAATGGAATTAAACTTAGAAGCCAATGAGCTATGGAGCTCGTCACCAGCCCATATTGGAAAGATGAATAAGCTTATGAAAGCACAAATGACAAATCCCATGCATATAGATAAGAGGCGATCTCCCGCTACATGGATTATCTCGTCCACTCGAACACCGGAAATGGATACTAAACTTAATGTTAAGATAAAAATCATAACTCCATAATCGTACTTCTTCCTGATGTTTAGTATTGTTCGCAAATAAGTAGCTGCAGCACCTGAATCATCAAGAAATTCAGATTAATAGTGATGGAGTTCTGCATTTCCTGGTTAAAACATTATTAAGTTCACAATGAAGCCTTTCTTATTGCTTGTTATGGAATATTACTGTTGATAGACTATAAATGACATTTTTTTTATAGTTTTTATTCCCAAATTGTTTATTTAGTTAGTAATTAAAATTGTTTTGTCGATATCATATCTATTTTCTCCACATTCCTTGAAGCATATTTCTCAGCAAGACATCCTGACATTTTGTTAGGATAAGTTTTAATTGTAATTTCTACTTGTATTCTTTTGTAGGACACAGGCAGACAACATGAAGGTAGGCTGATATCTACTCAACAAGCACTTTGGCAGCTTGAGGCAAAGGCGATGTAATTCTTTAAAAGTAAATTCAAATGCGCACACATAACAAATAAGTTATTTTGGGCTGCAAGGTAAGTGCTCAAACTGTGGTACTTATTAATCTTGCCAAAATATATTGCCGTATGCATTGAAGGCAGATAAATGTTTAAAAATAAAAGATATGTAAATATTAAAAAACAACAAAAAATCAGTTTTTGAGTATTTGCCTGTTTCAATTTCTTTTTTGTTATGTTTTTTATCTTGGAGTATTTGTCTTTTTGTTACAAAAATATATCAGAATATATGGAATATTTTCCCAAGGCTTAGTGTTGCCAAATTTCAATTCATGTACTACAGCTTCTGATAACGGATATATCCAGTTGTAGAAGCTAAAACAATTGGCTATTTTCAAGATATAAATCATTTATGAAAAAAGAACTAACCCAAAATAAAAATAGAAATGCCTATGACCACTGCTTTTCCAACTCCACCAATCTCCTGAGCAATGATAGCAACAAGGGAGCCAAGTCCACCCCCTAGAACAGTACCAACTAGACGGTTCAAGCCCTTGCTAATAGTTGCTCCTGAGCAATAGAAAAAAAAAGGGAAAAAAAAACAAAACGACAAAAATCAATAAAAGAGAAATTTTGTTGCATCTTTACTTTTCTCATTAACATCATAATCATCATTATTTGTCTTGTCTTAATTATCTTGGATTTTGTATTATCCTAGTTTACATATTTATAATCCATGCTGATATTGCATTGCATTATCGTGAAGCCTTATTTTTCTTAAGGAAATATTTACATGCATACCACATAATTTATATGTTTTACATATCTAACAATTTAAGCTCGATATTGATATATAACACCTTTTTGTGATGAACTTATGCATGAAGAATGTGTATTTCACTTTTAAATATTTTGTGATAGTGATATTTTTGATTTGATATTAAAGATTTGAGTGTTATGAATATAAATTTGAAAGTTTAGGTGTTAGATACGTAAATAGATAACAATTGTGTGGTGTGTATGTAAATGCCCTTTTTCTTAAATATATGGGCAGCTATTACCCAATATAATATTACCGGAGGGGTGTTAAACGGACGTGATGCTATATTTAGTAAGCTGATTTTATTAGTTATTTCAGCATAAAAAGGTATTAATATACATTTTATGAATATTTTTTTCTTCTCATGGGTGAGAATTGCCACTCTGAATCCACCGAATATGAATATACATTCAGAGTATTCGTCTTTTTTCAACTTATAATGCATCTAATCATAATTCAAATTATAATATCTTACAGCTTTACAAAAAAATGAATAAATAAAGGAAAATTTATGTTCATACCACGCAGTTCTTATGTGTTTACATATCTTACACCTAAACTTCAATTTTTCCCATATACACCACCGTACTTGTGCATGAAAGCTGTATTTCACTTTTAAAAAGTCATACTGATGACATTCTTTATCTTATACAAAAGATTTGAGTGATATAAATGTAAAAAGAAAAAACTTATGTGTTAGCTATATTAACACATAGGAATTGGGTGTCATGTATATAAATGCCAGATAAATAAATGAAAAGTGCATGAGAAGTTAATTACCTGCGGTGTACTCGAACACCACGACAACGGTCATGACTGCCCACATGGCATTATCACCAAGCTTATCATGGACTGCCTCAAGCATATAAAGCAATGAAACCAGCACCAAAGCTAACCCAAACTTAATAGCATGAACAGTCTTTTTATAATCAGCCACCCGTATCACTTGAGCAACATAACGCAAGACTTTCCTCCACCCCAGCCTCTTCGTGTCAATACCCAACGTCTCAATGCCGTCGATTGGGATCACAAGCGAATCTCGACGATCATGCAGATTACTATGTGTTTCTGTTACGAAATCCATGATAGGTATGGTTTTCTGTATTGAGTTCTTAAGCAGCAGTTATTGTGGGTATATATAGAGAGGAGAAACTGAAACTTTGATAAAAATATCTTATTTCGTATGGACTAATGACAGACATCACTTACTTGGCCAGTGCTTTGGGCCTTGGATGCGCATGCTTTTAAACTTTTAAGGGCTACTGGGTGTGTGGGATCCATGTTTTCAATAGGATATCATAACAATCTTGAATTGGAGCACCTGGAAGGTAGGTCTTGAGTTCATCTTTTTGGTTCTTATATTTCATAAAAATCTAAAAATTTGTGCTGTCCAGCTTTGTGAGCAGAGCTTTTAGTGTTTGGTGGACAAAAAAGAGCAAATTTTGGGTTAATTTTTGAAGTGAGCTTCTGTTCTGAACAAAGGTTATGTTTTTTTCTTTTTTTGAGCTACAATTGAGTTTTTTGTGGGAGCTTTGCTAATTTCCATATTCTCAGTAGTTGAGCAAATGATTAGTTTGAGCATTTGATACTTTTGATTTGGCTTTGGCCTCATCCTCTGAATTAAGATTTGTGTTTGATCAAATAAGCATTTCATAGATGCAAATCATTTATATTCATCTGGAGATTTTTATGTTAGCATTGATTTATGGGAAATGTTTTGCATGTTTTCTTCTGATTTACTAAGAGATAATTCGGGATCATTTTTATTTTTATTTTGTTTTACTTCGTTTTGATTATGTGTTTGATAAAGAATGTTTGCTTTTAAAAAAATATAAGAAACACCTAAAAATTGTTTTAAGTGATTTCAACTTTATTTTTAAAAATATATCTGTAAAAAAGATTCTGAACAAATATATGTTTAAAAGAAAAAGAAAAATAAAATACAATTGATTTGAAAGAAGTCTTTATAAAATATCAAATTGTTTTCAGAGTTGAGCTAATGGAGTGGATTTTGGTTCTTATGTTGCATAAAAACTTAAATATTTGCGTTATCCTATTTTGTGTGGAGAACTTTAAGCAGTGCTTAGTGGAAAAAAAAGATCAAATTTTGGCATAATATTTGAAATAAACTTACCGTTGTGAACAAAGGTTAGATTTATTATCATTATTTTTTTGTAAATTTTTTAGTTCATTTGAATTTGTCTGGGGTTTTTCTTGGATTTATTGAGTTTTCTTGCAGAATTTTTGCTGATTCCTATCTTCCAAATGTACATAAAAATGTTCTAGAACTGATCCCAGGAATATGTAATGGTTTTGAAATAAAGAATACGATGAAGAAGGGCCCGCCAATAGAAACTATGAGGCTCGCTTGTTCGATGGAGTGAGGCTGTCTGAGCAAGAGTAAGTAAAGCCAAGGTCTTGTCGAACCATGACACAAACCAAAGATGATCGGTGGATACATGAACTAGTCATTCAGACAGAAGCAAGGCAAAAGAGACATCAGATTCAACTACTATGGAAAAATCGATTCTAGAAAAGGTCTAATTTCCAGGCATATTCAACCATCAAGAGACATCCAAAGACTCCTCATTAGAGATCAATGATCGACAATCAGTCCATACTATATGGCTAACCTATATCTATCTAGCTCAGTCGACCTAGTGAATGTCATCCAGCCGACGGGATCTTAGGCATCTGAGTTGATCCTGACGACTCAAAGCCGCTAGGGACGATCGACCAAGATAGAAAGTACTCGGGCAATATGCTCGCATATATAAAATATCAGAAATACCTAGTACGACCCATTTAAAAGCAAGGGAAAAAGTGTAACATCATCACATCATGTAATCTCTTTTACAAATAAGAAGATCATTATATGAATAAAACTTGATTGAAACGACATATTATAGTTTATTACTGTTCACTCTTCTTTTTGTCTCTCTCTTTATGTTTTATTCATTCGGCGTGATTCACAGACAAATCAGGATTCAATATTCTAAAAAATGTAGTGAGCTTGGATCATGCCACAAATAAGAAGAGAGGTAGCCCAAAAAGAAGAAACTCACAACAGAGACACCACTAACATTTCTTATATAAATAGAAAGATCATTTTATGAATAAGATATGATTGACATAACACATTATTGTTCATGTCATGACCCGACCTGGAACTTGGAATTAACCAAGACAGGCATAGACGGTTGGAAGTTGTGAATTAAATTTTCTATAAGTATTTCAGACCCCTACAACTGATTGCAGACTTCCACATAAATATGTTTCTCTTGCAATTCTGTGGAACCCTTCGTTTCACTACGCAACGGGTAGAAGTCATAGCTTTATTAAATAATTTAACATCCTAGTTGGTCAGACCAGGAGTAAATTAAGTCCTTGGGTTAACCAACATAAGCCTTAAAACACAAGAAATAATATGAGAAAATATCTCAGAAAACCATGAAGAAAACACTATCTCTTTACGTATAGACATGAAGAAAAGTTTAAGCCACACATTGTCGTGAAAATCATAGAAATAGAGTCAATGCAGATTTTCATTGTAAGAAATAAATCAAAGGAAAACTTAAAATAAATGATTATTCTCTCCACAAGAGCAGACCCCCTTCCTCTCATACAACTCAACTCTCAAAAACTTCAAAGAAAAACTCACCTCAAAGTTTTCTCCCCATAAGAGGGAAGAAACCTCAAGATAAATCTCTCTCTAATCAAACCTTAAACTTTCTTGGAGCCTCCAGCCATCCATAATGCCCTAAGATTGGCCTCATGCATTAATTTATAGTCAAAGCTGACAAAGGAAAGAAAATTCTTGCAAAAAATGATTTCTGCGATTTGGTGCATGTACATCACGATGCAATGCAAGATAGCCGAAGCCTGTGTGGGGGCACCTTGATTACGGTGTGGGTGCGCTAAAAGTTGAATAAATGAGTGAGCATGAGTGCATTGGTGCGCTGGAGTTAAATCAGGTGTACCATCTTGTAGGCTTGGGTGCACTAGTCCTAAATCCTTGTATTATGCTCATTTTTGTTTTGTTTTACTCTAGATTCTCTGTTCACCTTGTCCCCTGCATAATTAAGATAAAAATACATTTCTCAAGCATAATATTAGTAAAAAAGATGAAGATACATGGGAAAATGTGCTTTCAAAATATCATATATTTCACACTTATCAATGATGAATATCCATATGTACCTTCAAGCCTGAAAATAGTTACATATTATAAAAAACATGCGACTAAATACATTGAATTTAATTTTATTAGTAGATCTAATGGTGGATTTGTAACAATTGATGATCAAATCAAATCATTAAAAGAAGTAAATGTTCTACATAGCTTGAACAATTATAACTGCTAAAAAATTGATTGATTAAAATTTTGGCTTGGATAGAGATCAGATCGAAATAAACGTGCCAAAATTTTGGATCAAGTTTCTTTCAAGCCGATAACAGTTTCGCTCAAAATCGAAACGTTAATAACCTACTACTGTTAGGGCTATTGAAGATTGATAATCGACAAATATTGATTCAAATTTTGGCTCTAATCTTGTCTGCCACTATAGCTACATAAACTCTTTCATGAGTAGTTTACTTCACATTTTCTCTCCAAGTGTAAAGCCACTAATTCACCTAAGTATTCTCATCTCAACAACTCTTACTAAATTACTTGCACACCTCTAAACATATTCTGAGAAGAAATATTTCACATTATGTAAGACTGTTCACTTCATCATCTAATAAAAAATCAAATTTTATTTGCCAAAATAGAAATTCACTTCAAATGTTATGTTCATGACATTGAAGAATATTATGTTTATTGCATGAAAATGTTCTATAATGATATAAGCAAATTTTCTATAATGTCATGAACATAATGTTTGAAGTGATTTTTCATTTTGACAATGGAAATTAGATATCCCATTGAAGGATGAAGTGAACACTGTTACATCATATGAAGTATTTCCTTCTCAGAATATGTTTAGAGGTGCGAAAGTAGTCTAGTAAAAAGTTTCAAAGACAAGAATGCTTATGTTTATGATTGACTTTGCACTTTGAGACGAAATACAAAATAAATATATCTGTGAAATGGTTTGTGTAGGTACAACAGCAAACAATATTAGAAGAGGGCGCCTTAATGGATTTAACATATAGATATAACTTATATCTAGCCAAACACAAAAAAAAAATGTATTAATTTAAAATATCTATTAATTCATATTTGATTATGTTTTAATGTTTTTTTGAATCAATGTTGGATCAATTAAAGATCTTCGTCATACCTAACATCAATAAGATATCAAGCAATTTGACTTCGGGCTGAGTGAGGGTAAAATCGAAGGAAATTAGATCCAAAATTTTGGCTCGTAGCTCGACGCATTTATGTCCATGCAAGCTTGATGTACAAACCAAAATTCAAATCAGCTTTTGAGTGATTGTCATTAGACCTACCCTATGCACCAAATAATTTCTACATATCGCCAAAAATTTCACCAAATTTGAATTAAGTGGTAACGTGACAACGAGTTTAGACTAGGATTTAATGTGGAGTTAGGCTAAATCCTGGCAGATCGTCGTTCTGGGCAAAATAAAATCTTGGATTTTGTTAATCTAGATTTCACAGATTTGGCTCGTAATGCTCGGATTTAGTGAATTTTACAAACTGATGGATTTATAGAATTTAAATTTGCCAACTACCCAACAATTTTTGAAATTTAACCCAATCCAAATTTAATAAATATCGATTTATTGGATTGAGTAAATCCTAGTAATTTAAATTTTATCTGTTTTCAAACATCACCATAATGTTGAAATTAGTGAAAACTAATTTTATCCAATTTCTCAAAATCCATAAAATCCAGAACTAATGTCATTCTAGTTACATTTTCAAAATTTCATAAGGGTTTCCCCTAAACCCTAAACCCCAAACCCTTTACAATTGGATACAAAATGCAAAACAAATATATCAATGAAAGGGTTGGTGATCTGGCTAGGAGAGTAGAAGTTTTAGATTAGACCTACGTTAAGAAAGGCAGGGGTAGACCTAATAGGACTTGGTTATGTTAAACTAAATAAATAGAAGACATTTATATACATAGCACACAATTCTTATATCTTTACACATCTCATACCTAAACAAGCAAATTAAAGAGAAAGAATGGTGCAAGCAAGTTTACTCTTCTCATTGGTTTCAACAAAGAGGAAGA